CACTTCACAGAAAGATATTAAGTTGGACTGAAAGAAAAGAAAGTGGAGTGAAAGCTCTTGGTGAGAAGGAGTGTTTGTAATCTCTTTACCTCCCTTTTTCACACCACACACCCACCTAATGATTAAAATTGACTTAAAGCAACTGCTATTGGACTACACCAAACTAGACAATTAAACAGAGCGTCGACAAGTTCCAGTAATTACCAAGGCAGATGTGAAGACCAAGGAAGGGAGCATTACATTCCCTACTCCTACACCACTGTGACTGCAAAGAAATAAAGGAATGTAAGTGGCTTTTTCAGACACCCTACAATTACGAAGCCATTCCCCCTTGTTGAGTAATTTCAAAGGCAACATAACCTTCATAAATGGTTTGCATGCACACACACGAACTCTAATCTGTGCTGGTGTAGTGTTCAAAAGAGCAACATCATTACATGCTTTATCAAATCTATACTTCCCTTCTCATGGTACAGAACATGTAAATTCTGCAGACCAAAACTGGAAAAAAATAAAGAGATAGCACGCAGCCTGAGGGCAACCCTCATTATCACAGCTCTACTGATAGTGTTGGTAGTGCCAGCAAGAGACTTTCTCCTGTTCACAAGATGATAACTTCGAGGACCTTGATTAATGTGCATCACTCAGGCAGATGAATTCAAATCTAGCCAGCAACTTCTGTGATCTGAATAAGTCTGATAAGTAGCTGGAAGGCATGAAAATTCCTATCTGAACTTATTAATGCAAACTAGAAAAAATACTTTAACAGTAAAATCTAAAACGTGTATATATGTATATATATCACAGCTCAGCTTATCTCCTAAATGGTTCCAAGGGAGGGACTAGACTTGGTCTTCCAGCCACCCTGATGACAAAAGAAGATAGTTGCAGTACAGTGCCTAATTTTCATACTAACACCCCCATTATCCTGAGTGACTTGAGTACCACCACAGAAACAGTAGTTATATTACCCCATGATGACAAGGATATTATGTTAGTTTTAATGAGTACATTTGGCATCAATACCTTGGGGTATAGAGCTATCCATGCATCAGGCATGAAAACAAATTAAAAACCAACCAAACAAAAAGCCCACAAAATAAACAAAGACTCTGAAGAATCTTTTTCACATCCATCACCTCTCTCAGTAATTGCTTCACTCGAAGTGAAAGACGTTAAAGTTTGTAAGCACTGTAAACAACTGGGTTGAAGGCAAATATATTTTTATCTCAGGAACAAGCTCTACTCTAGAGTAATGCCATATTATATACTTTCATACCTACACTGTATTTGTTTTATTCCAGAAAACCTACGAAGGGCCTGATGTGATACTTCTAGGGCTACCTCCAGCCCAAGATCAGGCTCAGCTATAGAACACTACTTTTAAGCTTCAGAAAGCTTCTTTTCCTAATAGGACTTCCTGCTGTTTAACAATTAACTGAAACTATTCGGGATACAGCTCCAATAATAAATATTGAGATAGTCAAAATACCTGTAGAGGTTTTCCTTGATGCGTCTGCCTTATAATTGTGAATCTGGAATTTGCACAATATATTGAATATTAGAGAAGCTTAAATATATGGATTTATTTAAATGTGTAATTATTTAGCATGCTTTTCACACTTGAATACCTCTACTCTGATAACTTGATAGGGTTTTTTCACTGTGTTTTTTTGTTTGGTGTTTGTGTATGTGGGGCTTTTGTTTGTTTGGTTGGGTTTTTTTTGGGGGGGTTGTTTGTTTTCAAATTCCAGTGTCTACTTATGATGAAAATAATCACTAGAGCAGCTTCCACTGTGTAAGTGGTGAGTTAATAAACAGACGGTGCAATTACAGTGACAAGTATCATACTAGAAAAGACCTACAGAAAAAATACTAAGCAACTCTGAAAAAGAAAACATCTACCCCTCTGGTATCATTGTAGACATCAGCTTCTAATGTTTAAAAACCTAAAAAAGAGTGCCTGGTAACAGATGAGCTGTCCCAAATATCACAAGGTTGACAGAAAGCCACTCAGTTAAGAGACAGGCTGTTTTGCATCCATGTTGACTAACTGAACACTTTGAAAATTAACTAAGACAAAACTGAACTAGAACATACCCCAGGGAGGTCTGAGGAGGGGCTTTGTTCAGTACTCCTGCCCCTGTAGTAGCAGAACAGATCCTAAGAAAATATCATGAGCTTTAAAAGAATTTGCATGAGGTAGCAACAAAATTTGGAGGGACATCCTGGCTCATGAAAAATAGGTTATATATGCTGTAACATTCCCTCTTTATCAGCTCTCCACAGATTCCCACTGTGTATTGAGTAATTAATTTAGGTATCCAGAATATCTGAAAGGGATCAGGAAAAAAAACCCAACAATTATAAACAAACCTCCATACACACACAGAGCATTTAAAACATTATTCACAACTTTATATAATGGGACAGATGTCCTAGAAGGACACTATCATTAATAGATACCTTAAATGATAAGATTCAAACCAATTTCCACAGTATTTTAAACAATCTTTACACATGAAAAACCTACATTTAGTTCAGAATATGAGTAGCTGTCACACAGCTTTTACTTAAAAGAAAATTACAGACAAGAAGCAGTCCATGCGATCAGTATAGCCAGATGTAGAATCTCTGGGGTTTTTGAAAAACACCCTGTACAAATTTGTATTAAATTACTATATGTGTAACACAGAGATAAGAAAATAGAGAAAAGTTATTTCCACTGAAGCACCATAGGATGGTCAGGTGTACAGATGGAAATGATAGGTTTCTCTGGTTTGACTATTATGATTCTAGAGTGCAAAGAGAAGAATCAAAGTACTGTCATTTATACAAGCCTACAGTCAGAAGACAGGTATTAGCATAGACAACAAACAGCTCTACAGAAAAGCATTTCCACAGTGCTACAAAAGTCTCTTCTGCCACTAAATATGCTGTAACAATTTGAAACTAACCGAGTTATGACCTTTGGTATAAGGTTCCACAAATTACTTTAGAAGAATACACTGTTCTTAGTAAAGTTGTCCGCATAGAAAAGGGGGAAGACTTGGGGGAAGTGGGTGGTAGAAGGTGGTGTGTGTTTAACTTCATCAATCATTTCATTTGCTGAAATAGGCATCTATTGTTCCAATTTCAGGTGTAGTAGTAGTACGTGTATTTCAAAGCAAAAACTCTCCTCCTGTATCTACCAGATATTATCATTTGATATTGAGAAACGTAAATTATTCTTTCCTTTCTCAACACTACAATAAAACATCTTATGCATAGGGAAGCAAACAGATTTTTACATTTAAAAGATGCAGAGATAGACTTTTAAATACTAACCTTTGCTGAAGAAATCCCCTATGATTTTAGGTTCAACTGATCAAGAGAAAGCACGTGAGAAGCAGAGTTTTAGCTTGGATTTAGGGTGTTTAGGGGCAGGACTATCAATTGAGCAAAACTTCAATTACAGATTAATTTAATGTATACCCAAGTACATTATTGCAATTCAATAAGCTTCTCTTCAGAATTAAACAATCCCAATTTGCTTTCATTTCAGCCTGTGTGCATGCATTACAAATTTGCTATTATCCACACTAAAATTAGTCAGACTGCTTGGAAGCACTCATCCATGCAATTCCAGTGTGTCACAGTGCTGCATCAAACTAACCTCAAATGAAGCACTTAACTGTACTTGCTTACTAAACAGGAGCACAGAGCAGAGGAGCGTACCTTCCCAGAACAATATTCCTCTCCTAAAATTTCTTCTAGCTAGGTACCTGCCTAAGTGATCCAGAAATGAATCTATCAACATCTCTCCTAGTGGACATCCAACCATTCATGTTTATAACTTAGTCTTCTATTTTTACCCTTCTTATGTTATTGAACATGAAAGAGTCAGGCACCCACTCAACTTTGTATATTCTGATACTTGGTTGCTCTGGAAGGTTGCCTTGCCTCTTTTTAGCTATGATACAATACTAGTTATGCTACTCCTGGCAACTCGATTCCATTTTAATCATTAATTAATTCCTCCAGATCTGAACACGATACACGATCACTGAGTGGGAATTAAAAGCACCTGGCATCTAATCAAAGCATTCTCTTCCTGATCTGTGTAGTCTGCACCACGCAACACTATTTAAGGCATTGTACAAAGGCATCAGTGTACTGATCATCAAATGAGAGAAGGTTGGCAGAAAGTACTACAATGGACAAAAGCGAGCTCATTTCTACAGCAATCCTCCATTTTCACAGAAAACTGAAACATTTAAATCAATAAAATTATACTTGGGAAGCATACCCATAGTCCTACTCGACATCACCCCCAACAAAAACACAGAATGTCTAAGAAGCAACTTAGCCACCTTCTGATCTCTCCACCTAAGCAGCAGTGAGCGTCTGTGTTGTGCAGCTCAGTGTAAGTTTTCTTTTATTTATTTATTAAAAAAAAAACAGCAGCACAGTAAGCAGCACTTTACTGCTCATCTCAGGGATGCAAGATTAAGACACGTCTTGCATGTGTCAGGCACAGTATCAGCTCTTGAATCACAGTAAATAACAGGGCTAAAACCCTAGCATCCTTTAAGAACTACTGATGTTTCTACCATGTACTTCAGGACATCAGCAGAATCAATCCCATCATTTACTCCCAGCAGCCTTGAGCAGACTCTTGTGACACGCAGTGCTCCATCACAAGATTACTGATGCCTGATAAAATGCTGTGAAGGAAGGCAGATGAAGCTGACAGACAAACTCTTTAGCTGACTACATTAAAAGTATCCATAGCTACCATGCATTATTACAAAAGCTTATGGAGAGGGCTGTATGCAGACAAAGTTTTGATTCAAATATTTAAGAAAATGATTGAAATTCATGTCACTTTTACCCTTTTTTCCTACTAATATAATATGAATGAAGGAAGAAGGTCCAACAGGACATCAATTTTTATACACAGATGCCATCTGGGATGAAATACTCATCTTGCATAAACCTGCTGCTTTAGTGCAACCTACCTTTCACTATTAATTCTGCATAATTCGAAACTCCAGATCCACCGTCTGAACGAATGACACATCGGTACTTGCTGATACTGCGTTGAGAGGTGTCAGCCACACTGACAGTAGCAGAAAAACGTCTATGGTTGACCACTCGAGTGACCATTAACGCTGTGTCCCTTCCATTCCACTGCTGTAAAAGAAGACAAAAATAGTGTGAGTTATAAAGATACACAGATTATGCATCCAGATGTAATTAATTCCTTGTTATGCTTCTTAACGTTGTTCAGACCTCCAAGTTCACATCACTAGGTTAGATTTTATACAAGCACCATTTTTCAAGGAAAGACTCCTAGCAATACCCCTGAAAAATTTACAGAGTTGTATGAACTAGGGCTTAAATATTACACATATATTTAAATTTTCATGTCTATTTAATTTTTGAAACATATTTGGGCATTTGATGTGTTCTATGTACTGAAAAGGCTGGAGAGTGACAGCTCAGACTATGCAATTGTACCCAGTATATTTAGAGGCCTGGCTAGGATGTGAAAAATACAAGTGAATGGATTTTGTACACTTGGGAAAATGTTACAAATGAAATTTGGCATTTTCAGATGTAAAACTTTGATTCTGGACCGATTCAAATAAATTGGTTGGATGACCAGAAATCCTTATACGTCCAACACTCCTCAGTAAACCTCTCTACCAATGCCAGACTACATTTTCCCAATTGAAAAAGGGACAGATGATGAATTAGCTAGAAATAGAAGTTCTCCACAGCATAAACATCTGAACTTGCTCAGTTGGTCTAGTTTATTACGAGTGTCAAAGGAAAACACACTGCTGTTTTGCTGATTTCCAGTAATCAGTTTTTGGGGGTGTTTCCAAGCCTATTTTCATTAAATGTTTCAATTTTAGGGAATGGAAAACAGGTTTCCACTAGCAACAATAATTATTTCAATAATGATTTCCTCCCAAACCCCTGCTTCTCACAGAAAAAGGTTCATACTGCTTCAGGTCAGAAGTGTTTTTACACACTTCTAGTCATTACTGTGGAAAGATTTCACTGAAAGAACTCAAAAAAGATAAAAAATAAGACAAAAATATATCTCAGTGGATGCTACGCCACAAGTTAATAAATTTCAGATAAAAATGTAATTTTTTAGGAGAACAGCTGTGATGAGAATACTATTACAGTGACTGGTTTACATTATGCCAACTACATTTCTCACTACCTCAAGCCTTATTCCCAGTACTAATCTTCATTTTTATGATTAGGTGAACTGATTCCTCCTCTAGTATTTAAACTAGATTTGAAATTGGTTTTGTTTTTGTTTTTTAATTTTATTAAAATGTCTAAAGTAAAAAAATATTTGAGAAAATCTGTTTATTATTTGACTACAAATGCCATAGCAACCATAACAAAGGCCATTCTTGTCCTCCTCAGATGCTACAAATTATTACAAATATTGGGTGGTCACATCAGTCCAAGCTGAGAATAAAAACCATTGACTGTCTTAAGCATTGCAAAAGTTCATGTTGGCCTTTTGCACGTGCACACTACATACAGCAAGATAATCCTCTTGACTTGTTTGGGATGTTAGGTGTTTAATGACACAAATTTAGAACAAGTGAAGAGCTCAAGTATTTTAAAAGCTACTGGAAGAGCAATCTGTATAGAGGATGGTAATGTTGGGACTCCACATAGCTGAGTACTTCAAAGGGCAGAAGAAATAATTTTGTCCTTCACTGGGAAACATGCACTCCACCTCTCCAGTTTGAAATATGCTCCATTTCTAACTCCAGAACTGAAAATGTTATTAAGGTTGTTACCATACCCATTTAAATAGCATGTCCCAGTCTTTCAAGATCAACTAGTAGGGTGAAAATATAGATATTAAGAGAGGGAATGTTTTGGTTTAGTGAGTGACTAAATGATGAATAAATGATCTGTTATCAATGCAGCCAAGGGAAACTAGGAGGAAGAAAAACAGTGGGTACAAACTGGTTTTGCCTGTTTTCACCATCCAGGTAGTAATCTCAGACCTTAGAGCAGGTTTCCTTCTTAACATTGTTATTGACCCTGGGCTGAGGACATGTTAGGAGTGTGAGAGGAAAGATGATTGCATAACTAAGCAGAAGTGAAGAAATATTCCACTTGTTCTGTCTCCTCTGCTTTATGACCGAGTGCTTACAGGTGCACAGGCATTTGTTTGAAACCAAAATGTTGCTGTCACTGGCCATTTTTTCCATTTTCTGTATCATGATTTTGTACTTTGTCACCTTAAACTCTCAATGAAAAACAATTTAAGGCAGTTCTCAATCTTGAAAAGATCTTGTCTCATCACCCAGTCTATCTACTTACATTACCTGCAAAAGTAAAAAACCCCCAACCAACCAACCAACAAAACCCACAAACCAAACAAATCCAACCAACCAACCAAAAAAACCCACAAAAACCAGTGCTCTACTTTACCTGGAGCCAGAGTTTGTCATGCTGTGACCACTTTCCCCCAGCAATGCACTGGAATGTCGCGTTCTGTCCCACATTGACCTCCACATTCTGAAGTCGCAGGAAATGAGGTGCTTTTCCTGACAAAAGATGCAAAGTATTGCAAGGGTAGAGCAAGGTGGTAACTGACTGTGTTACATCAACAGAGACAGAAATGTTCAGCAAAGCATTAGGGTCTATCCTCGACAAAGCAATATTGCAAAATAAAGCTTTGAGTATTTTAACTCTTCACTGCAGAGTGAGGTGTATGATCAACCTGACAGAGGGCCTATGGGCTCATACAGAGCTCTGGCACATCTGAACACAGACTTAGGTCAGATCACAATGCAAGTTCATCATCACCAGAACGATTTCTTACTTCTTGCTAAGAGTAATTTCTTCAGAAATTGTGTTTCTGAAAAGGTGAGAAAAAAAAATCAAATCAAGCGCTTCTGAGCTTGTCAAGCGTGACGGATCCAAATCAAATTTTTGCAAGGTCTTTTTTTCCCTTTTTATTTTATTGACTATCAAATTCATCCTAGACCTTTAGAATAATAATGTTCCATTATATCAAATCAGATATTAAATGAAATATTTGTGTAACTGACAGTATTGTATTGTATCACTTTATTAGTTTAAGATCACTGATATCAGTGGTTTGCTGATACTAAATTCTGTATTAATTCAATATTAAACCACTGATACTAAAATGCAGACATCACATTTGTTCCCAAAGGAACTAGATTAGAGGAATATCTTTTTGACTAAACACTTGCTTCTGTAAGTTAACTTGCAAGAAAATAAAAAAGAAAATAAAGTAGAGAACCTCACACTTTTAAATGAAGTTAGTTCTTGCTGGTCTTCAGATGAAGGTTTGTGCACTATTTGAAAACTTTTAGTAGTACACACTGAACAGCCTTATGAGACTCTAAAGGTCAGAGTTTTTTCAGCTTCATCTTTACATATTCTATGATGATTAGACACTGATGAAACACACAATTTCAGAGGACATACCAACTCATCTTTTTCTATTTGAATCAAAAGATCTTCAAAAGGCTGTGGGCATCTGTGTGTGTGTGTGTACATGGAGCTTGACATATAAGTATTTGTCTGCTATAGACACAGGAACAGAGAACACATGTCTATATGCTATGCCAAATGTTGTTATCTCGTTTCTGTATCCCATTCACCACATGCTCAGTTTGCTGACAGCTCCTGAAAGATAGTGACTCTGTACTGTCACACACCACGCTTTCTGGGGATCAGTAATTTCCATCAAATTTACTAGAAAACTACCTCTGAGTGACAGTCAGAATGTACTACATATTTGCAGGCTAATACCAGTTACTTCCGCCTGCAGTCTAAGGTGGGTAGATACGAGCTAGCTCCAAATATGAAGTCACATCAACCCCAAACTCCTAGTCTTCAGGTCTGGCCAGCTTCCAGGGCCTAGAGCTGTCTTACAATTGCAAGCACTCATGTATGCATAGTCAATGAGCTCTTAGCATAATGAAAAATGATACTCTAGGACATTCCTTCACAGGACAAAAAAAAAAAAAAAAAAAAAAAAGACAACACACCAGCATATTTTTCTCCATTACTGTGTCATTAGGGGCATTTAACCGTGTTTTTGCTGATACTGTCTGCTATACTGCCATCTATGAAGGTAAAACAGAAATGGAGAAATAATACCAGTAATTTCAGTAACCTCCAGGGTCATCAGGAGCTTCATGGTCCCTGTGTTTTGAGTTGCAACAATTGTAAAACAAATATGAGGGGCAAAGCCTGTACAAGTCAATGGAACACACTCTGGTGACATTTACCCTGGTGGCTGTCACTGCTGAACAACAAAAGCAACACTGGGGATCAGACAGGAGAAGCATTTACAAAGACCGCAGAGAACTTGCAGCTTGTAATGAGTTCTGTATGCTGCAGATTGCAAACTGATTCAAAATGGAGTAATTAACTCTTTGAATCATTTCGGGTTTGAGTCACCAAGAATGCACTTCATTTTGAAGAAAGTTCTGCATATACTTGGAGAAACAGATTTTAAAATCAGTTTAAATACTTGATTAAGTATGGGAGTAACACAGCATCCTTTTTTTTTTAAATCCTGTAACCTCCTTGCCTAAACTTTGCCCCATAGTTTGTTCAGTGGCCTCTTTCCCAGTAAAGGGCTCAGACATCACCCAACATGCTGTGGAATGTGCACAGACCATTTGGGGGATTTGTTTGGATGCTGCCAGTTATCAGCAACATCTGGTTAATACAGATTGTAAGTGTTTCTTAATGAAGTAAATGCACCCAAAAGGCCTGAGCAATAAACACATGGTAAATACAAATATAATTTAGTTAAACAGCCATAAGCCATACTGCAGTTATCAGAAATGTCCTGTTAAACTTGAGCAGAACCATGTCTGTCACATTGAATGGCAGCCATTCTTTGACATTCTTATTGTAAGAAAACCAGTCGATCTCACTCCGTCAATATGATACAGGATTTTTTTTGTGAGCAGCTGTCACTGACTTACTGAAACCATGAACTAGTAGAGGGGTTGTTAAAAAAAAAAATCTTTAGCAGAAACTGTATACTACATACACAATACAGACACACAAAGTCTTCAAATCACACCACATGCACAGTGAAACCAAACAAGCTCAGACTCTTTCAGGCTCAAGATCTCTTTAAATAAATAATAAAAAAATTAATAATAACCTAAGCTTATTATTATGGCTATGATAGCAGAAATGCAGCACTGATGTTTTTGAACAGCATAATGAACCTGCATTAGTTTCTATTCCCATGCAAGTGTATTGTCTGAATTAGATTTATTTTTAATATCTTTACAGGGGTGCTGAGCTGGTTTAACATTTGTCGAGAGAGAGACACCTTTGGGATATGTCCTTTACCAAGGAAATACTGCAACAATTTTTTTGTTTCTTCTTTTCTTAAGTTAACCACACAGGATATTATCAGAAGCTTTTTAGATTGTTTTCTATGGCAATAGGATTCAGAAATAATAAAACAATCAGTTTTATGTTCTCCTAGCAAGAGAGGAAGAGAGACTTCCACAGATGTGTTGGCGCTAGCTATAGACTGAGAACAGTATTGTCTTTTGCACAACTTGCAAAGTTATGTAATTATGCAAGGTTGATTGTCTTTAGGTATCTCAGAGGGACACAAGAAGACATTTTAGTCTTGACCAAACTGGGTGAATCACTCCTTCAGACCGTAAAGCCTGGTAGATAACACACTGATACAGTTAGAAAAACAAAGAGTACTCACTGCATGGATGGGCGAGAACTCTGACTTCATCCACAGCTATGTACCCTGGATGGCCTTTCAAAGAGACAGATTCAAATATCACCTGAAATAAAAAATAAAAAAGAAAGTTTTCTTAAAAAGAATAGCTACGTAAGTCATTTGGCCAGTCACCACATTCTACTCTTATTCCAGCATCTGAGTCATTCAAGGCATCTCATCATTAATAATGAAGGGATATCGAGCCAATTCAGTATGTACATGCATACCAAAGACTGAAAATCTGTTCTATATGGAAAACAAAAAGTTAGAGCAACATTCATTAGGATGAGAGACAACTACGTGCTGCTTTCATTTTGGAAGAGCAAAAACTACCCTGTATAGATACACATCTATATTCACTTTAAGCACCAGTCCAAGAACTTTAAGTGGATAATCATTTGACATCTTATTCTAAGTATGTCTCAGAAAGTTAGAGACTGCTGTACATGAGATAAAATGATCTTACTGAATCAATAACCCTGCATGGATTCTTCTGGAGAAAACCTTGATTTGACCCTGGATTTGAGTTACTGGACAGAAATAAGATTCTCCCAGATATAATAAAGCTGTTTCTGTCTTTCCTTGGATTAAACTAATATGGTCTGAGAATTAATATTCTTAAAAATCACATGTAGTATTTCTCTACATTAATTCTCTACCAACTAACACTTCCTATTTTATTGATGTATTTGAATAACAAAGGTGTTCCACTAATTTGGGTCTGAATAGATATTCAATTACAGATGAAGAAAAATCTAATTTTTCCCTATGGCTTTGTGGTTTTACCTGGAAAACTGCCCTGAAGTATCCTGTTACTAAAAATATACAGGTTATCTGAAAATCAACAGTGCAGGGGGAAAAAGACCTAATAAGGGGTATTATAAAGATAATTTATTAAAGGGTATTATAAAGACTATTTAACATCTTGGTAATGCTACCTCTCAAATTAGTGATTCTCTTCCCAAAACAATGATGTGTTATCCTTTATTAGGTTGTTGGGGTTTTTTGTTGTTTTGTGGTTGTTTTTTTTTTTTTTTAATAGGTAGGGATGTAATGGATGCTGTCCTCTGCATGCGAAAGGGATGTCCCCAGTTTCATTCCCTCTTACTAAAGTAATGTTCACACTGTACTAAATTGCTCATTTTTGCATGACTGTACAATAATATTTTCAAGGACAGAGTTAATTAACATGTTCAGCTGGCACAGTTATTACTATTAAAGCAGTTTTCTAGTACAGCTACCTGTTTCATAAGTGAAAGTATTTCAGTATTATTTAACCTCTAAAATTCATTACTAGAACACAAAGTTAACTACTTTTCAACACTTATTTTCGTTCTAAATAAAAGCTAGTAATATCAGTCTGGCACTGTTTTGCCTCTTCATTCTTCACCATAAGATTTAATACAGTAAAAGAGTCAATTGTCCAAATACTGATCACTGCATGCCCTGGTTATGAAGGTTGACCAATATGTCCTTGGCAGAATTGCTCTTAATCATTTTGCTTTGCATATGAGCTTCTAGAACACAGTTTCTACTCATGTTTCCAGGACTTCCTAGGATTTGCTCCCCCAATTCAAAGTGCATCCAAATGTGAGATCTTCTGAAATACATCTTTTAGAAAAAAGGCATCATAAAAACAGGTAGAACAAAAATTAACAGGCAAAGGTATAGACCAAGAAAAGCTGAAATGCCAACAATACGTAGAAATAAAGTTCTACTGCAAAGGAATGTGGACACAAAATAGGCTGTCCAAGGAGCAATAGGAGGAAGCAAATCTCTGGAAGGTAAAATAATCCAAAAAACCATCAACGAGTGTTTTGTGTTATAAAGGTTCTAAATAGGCTTTTTAGGGACTGTATAAAGTAAGAGTATAATACAAGTCCTTAGTATGGAAATTTATTTTAGAAATTAAATGTCATTCATGATAAAAATTACACTTACTGGGAAGGTCATGCGAGCAGCTACTGAAACTCCCTTCAGACTTGAATTAAAGTGCAACATTACAGCTACAAAATCTTATTTTAGTTTTGCATTTGTGAGAAGCTATAAGCTGCAGTGAACTAATTCTCAAATTCCTGCATGCCAAGAACTTGGAAAGAAGAGTTCTCCAAGGCACTGGCATTAGTTATTAGCGTGGGGCAAAAGTAGGCACTGATACACAAAGAACTGTCTTCTGTTAATTACCAATATGTACAGAGTCTTTGATACAGCACAATATAACTTAAGCCAGTAACAACTGAGACAGTTCCTGAAAAAACTCCATGCACACTGGTGCAGAGTCCACTGAGAGAGTGGAGGATTCCCCTCAATTCATACAATATTGTTCTGACAAACTATTTTATCTGTTCCACTTTACACTTTCTTGTTACTTTCCAGTTCAAGGTTCCACACTGTTATCTATTTTTATATTTTGCAGCATCTCAGCCCTCAGCACAGAAGCACCTAGGTTCCCCTGAAAACACAGAATTGAAACCCAACATGAGGAAAAAAGCAGGAATCCATGCTTATGGGGCCCAGTTATGCAAACTTCACACTGAATCTCTCTCATATACTGTCCTGGTTTTGCTAGGACAGAGTTAACTTGAGTCAGAAATGTAGTATAATGGTTGAGATGTAGACAATTAGCAATGCTTTACATTTAAGGAACTTCTCAGAAATTAATATAGATGACAAGATTTACTCTTAAAAAACATTCTTAAATACTCTTGAGAACTGTGAATACCAAGTCATTTCATGCTCCCTTACCAATAAACAATACTACATTTCACTGCTGCGATATACCAACAAAGTCTGTGTTAGCAACGTAGCCTGGCTCATCTGTTGTGGTAGAACAGTTTTCTTCAGGCATGGATCAATAACATTCCTTGCTATACATCAAAAAAGTCTTTCTGGCAGACTCTAGTGCTGCCCTTGGTGCATTCTGGGACTAAGTTCATCCTGATGGCAAGCAGTAATTCAAGATTACATGTATTACCTTTCTCCAAGAACTATTACAGCTGTTTCTTGCTACACTGAAAATATTTGCAGTCTGGGAATCCAAGTATGAGTAACACCAGGGTAGACATTATAAATCTCCACGATCCCCACGTTCATATCTCAGCAGAGCACTTCCGGATCCAGATGACTCACATGACCCTTGCACAGAACTGTCAGACCTAAAACACGACCTCTGGTAATTGGTTTGGTTATTAGTTTTCCACTAGTCACATATCTGAAGTTCAAAATACTTGTCAAAGCCTCAGACCCAAGGCAGATAGTTTCAGATTTGTTGCCTGACTGAATTTCTGATGCACACTGCAATTCAGGATGATGTGGTTTCTGTGCATTAAGAGAATAATGCACATTTTGCCTGACGCAGATTTCATTATTTAGGAAAAAACGCTATTTTTTTTCCTGTGTTACCTGGTGCTTTTGAAATACAGAACATGCTTTCAGGCCGCTTGTACAAAGAGTTCTCCAGGCATGCAATTTTGATTTAAAGCTCACAAATAACACTCCGATGGCACATCTAAGATTGACAGTGTGAAATGAGACACTCCCCCAGGCAACAGTACACCCAAGCTTTTGTCATCCTGCCACCTCTGGACTCTTTTAGCTAGAAGTGTTACTTTAGGCTGCCAAATAACCATAATTTTGATTAAGTTCTTTATTGTGTTTTCCTCTTCACTTTTGCAAGCTTAAAGTTTCTTTTCTCTCTCTCTCTCTTTTTTTTTTTTTTTCAATAACTTGGTTAAATGTAGAAACTCACAGGATTGCAGCTGATCAACAGAAGATGGTTTATAAAATCAGGGACTGATGATAGATCAGTCTATTAGATCCCCTAGAATAGTGGGACAGATCTCAAACTCTTAAAGCCACACTTAAGGAATAAGAATACAAATATAAGCAGAAGGAAGCATCACTCCCATTCATCAAAAAGAAAACTTTTGCATTTTCCAGGAAGGAACTAGTCCTATGCAGTTACTGCTGGCTTCAGATTTTCACTGCAGTGTAAAATTCTTGTTTGATTCAAAGGATTTTTTGCTCAGAAAAACCAAACTTGACCTGCAAAAGGACTTGCAAAAGAAGTAAGTAAGGCTCAGGAAGTCTACTATTGGTATATCTAAGAGTACGATCTCCTAGTGTGAGATCAGACTGTCTCTTCCAGGTTTTTCAAGCACTGATTATCTCAGTGAAAGATCATTTCTGTTATCTCCATGGAGCACCTACTATGAAGGAAATTCTGCTACATGACTAGGTTCATGTTAATATGAATGGAGTATAAGCACTTTAATATGACTTCAGAACAAGTGACAAGTTGTGCACAGACCTTAAAACACCACTTTCCACGCACTTACATCTCTCTGTCCCTTCTCTCTCATCCTGCATAGTGCGCTCTAAGTATTGGGCTGATATCCCCAACTCTTTCTCAGAAGCAGAACATTAAAGCATTCTACTTCAGCTCAGATTTTAGAGACCTCCTAGCCAGTTATTAGAAGAAAAAAGGAAAAAAGAAAAAAGCAAGCTTTGCTACCTGCTGTTTTCTATCCACAGACTATTTGCTGCCTTTTCATAGTTTATTCCATCGTAATTCCCATTTAACTCATGTCCTTTATCAGTATCATATGTACAGCTTTTCCTGCAAGGTTTAGGGTCCAATCACCTCCCAGATTTTTTTTTTTCTTGTCTTGAATAAAACAAGACAAAAACATATCTTCAACACTTAACAAGAAGTATGTGAGTCCATTGTGAGCAATCTTATCTAATTAAAACTAAACCAATGACTGCAAAGTTGCCACAGGAAGTTTGAAGTGGACAATTAACAAGTGCCTGTAAAATTAATTTAACCAAAAACCAACTTACCCATTACATTTGCACTTGTTTTAAAAAAATAACTCTCCTAACAGAACAAGTAAGGCTATGTTACAAGCAATGCTAAAAAGAAAGAGGAATGGAGGATGTGGCGAAGAGTATACTTGTGTTGATAACAGGGCATAAGATTTTATTAGTAGCTTACATTCTTCCACCCCTCATACAGGCAGAGGAAAAGTCTAGATGCAAAGCTGAGTGAGTAAATGTTCCTTCTTAGGGAACCAACCAAGGGCCAAAAATAGTACAGACAAGTTCATACAGAGATACATTTACACATCTAGAGAGCTATATTTATGTTTACATGGAAAGTGCCAATACAAGTCTGTTTACGTGCCAATTTAATGACAAACAAGTGGGTCTTAACTTGACAATAATTTGACTTCCAGCAGTCTATCCATCACTCTGTGACCTGACAACTGCAGAAAAGGTTGAAGCAGGTATGAATATGTCAAGATGCCTATATAACCCTTTTGCTATGGAACTGCTATAAGTAATTTCATTCTGCTAGGAAAAAGGGAGGGATTTGATTTTCAGAACACCTATTGCTAACAATAGCTGAGCTCATATCTAGCCAAATGTTCAAAGGAAAAAGAGAAAAAAATACTATAAGCTCATACCTGATAAAAATGTGGCCAGAATGTACTGATGGCAAGTTCTGCTTTCACCCATCCTTCTGTAACAACCCCCGAGACGTTCCATATGGGGTTGCCTTGTGGTCCTCCATTCACCTTCACGTAGACATTCAGAGAGCCAGGACTCGAACGGTCTCTGCTAGATAAGTAATAGTGGAAGTCGATGCAATGAGTGTCATTTTCCTTCAGCGTAGGCAAGAGCAAGTGAGCCTTCTGCCCAGACGCCCGCCCAGAGCTGTTCACCATCATGAAGGAGCCTGTAGAGGAAAGTAAAAAGAAAGAGTGGTTTTTTTTGGCTTGGCTTTTTCAGTAAAAACAGTTCCATGAGAAAAGACAGTGATTCCCTTGGAAGCCAGAAAACAAAATATTAATCTGAAGAATTCAAACTAGCAACTTTGTGCTATTTGTTAGGTAACAGAAAGAAAGGATATTAAAATTGCAGGCTATATAGACAAATAGATTCAGGGCCAATTAGTACCACTTTAATTAGATAACTTTAAAAAAATCAAAATATACTGTTTTGCTTTTATTATTTCATAACTTCGTGATGAAACAGTCACTCCAAACAAAAGCATATTCACACTTCAAGCAGCAAGGAGGCTCTCCTACTGTCCCCCAAAGGCACATTCAATACAAAAACTACAACGGACCAAATTCTCAGCTGATATTTGTCTAAATGCACCTTGTGCCAATCTATACCTCTGCACCCTGCATCTTGGCCCTATAAGCTTTTGAAGGTTGCAATGTGTTAAGAAAAAACACAATTTTCAGACCCCAAATGAACAAGGCTTGTTAATATAACAGCAATACCTCAACTAGAAATAATGCAGCAAGGACAATATTCTTCCAGAAGGGAAGGACAGGCTGAATTTAGTGAGGGAAATACATACTAAGGCAATTTATGAGTTTGTTAACCTGGAAGCTTGCATCACATTAACCGTGGTGCTTGATGTTGAACTCACATTTTGATTCATCAAGCAGTTATGTTACAGCACATTGTGTCTCAACTCATCTCTTCACAGATGCATCAAGGTGACAAATATTAGCAATAAGGAAAAACATTATGAGAGCTATTTGATTCAATTCTCTTCAGAGGATCTCCTTTATGTGTGTGCAGAAACTCACACCCAGGAAAAGCTGAAGAAAACACTTGATGGGGGAGGTGGGAAGTGTAGGTAGGAAATCTGTGTGTCAGCAGCCAGGCATGATAATTTTTAATCAAATGCAGCCCTCTTGATATTCTCAGTTCTGAGGCTGCTGCCAAGGCATGCTACAAAGATATTTCTCTGCTGGCCTCTTGCAGTTCACAGAAGATTGAGTTTGAAAAGCCTTGCCTTACTTCTAACCTACTGACTTTCCCTAGTCCATGCCATAGCAGAGTGACACTCTGATGAGACAGATAAACATTTTGATCAATTCTGTGCAGTGAACAGATATATAGTCTAAATTTATATCAATAAATACCAGCAACTTTCTCCCCAAAAAATGTTTTTCCCCCCTGTGTTTATATGATACATATGCAATTTGTAAAGAACTGAAAAGCACAGACACAGAAGGAAGTCAATCATTCAAAAAAATAAATAAAAAAAAATCACACATTAGAAAGACCTTGGAAAATTCAAGAACAATGCAAGCACAGCTGGGGAAGAGGCTGTACTAAGAAATATGAAAATTTATAAGCAAGATGCTGTCTGGCAATCTATCTTTCATTTTGATATGCTGAAAATCAAAATGGCCCCAAATCAAGAAACTCCAGATTCACAGCAAGGACTTATAGCAACATAAGAACTGAATCCAGACTTTTCAATTTCTCTCTAATAATCCCAATCCACAAGATGGGATTCTGACAAATGTTCACTGTTGATCTAATTCTGCTCCCAGTCAGCCACAAAATCCCCTTCTTCAGCATGTACTGGATACATACTATTCTTAAAAATCCAGTCAAGCTGAAGTTTTGAGAAACTACAACCTAGAATAATTTATTATTAGAAAGCACAATTGCCAGCAGGCTCACAGAAGCAGCACAGCCCCATGGTTAAGGCAGTGGGCTGGGTACCTGACTGCCTGGTTTCTAAGACTCATGACACTCACTTCCATGATCTCTGCCAGTACACATAGTTCACCTTATCTTTCTTTACAAATAAAGCAAAAATAGTCATAAAAACCACTCTTCTACTCAGACTGTGGGAGGAAAGCCACTGTAAAACTGCTGAGTAACAGCAGTAGATCATAGAGGAGCAGAGCAGCTGCTATGCAATGCACTGCCTGCAGCATTTCAATGCCATTTTGAGAAACAGTGTCAGATACAAAGAAGATGAGTTCTACATTTGCCAGATCTCATATCTGAGGATGATGGCAACATCAATTAAAACACTCAGTAAAGAAAAGCAGAGCTCCTGTGCATGACCAAGAGCCTGCTGCACTGGGTAGGAAACCAGGAAAACTCATTTTTGCACCATCATTGATTGGATCATAGGACACATCATTTCACTTCTGGGCATCTTTCTCAACTTTTTTTTTTCCTCCTTCAATTTCAATAATTCCCAGATTCCTGCCCTGAAGAACTACTCTGAAGCTGTACTATATCTAACACAATACAGTCTTGAACTGCACTGGGGTAGGTAAATGTTTCAATGATAGAAAGAGTTAGGGAATATTTCACTTCTATCAATTCATGTATAAAAATAACAAGCTTTCCCCTGGGACAAAAACCATCAGCTTTTATAAAAAGTTCAAAGTAATAATTACAATTTAATTTTTTGCCACCCACAAAAAAAAAAAAAATAAATTAATCACAAGCTATTCGTGGTGTGACAACGGCCTTTTGTGTAACTCCTGACAATTCTAGAGTATGGAGCCTGAATCTAGTGACTGACAACATGAGCTAGTAAAATATCCATCCACCAAAAGGCACCTAACAAAAAAATTAGTCTTAGTTACTAAAAGAATAGCCTTACAAATGATTGGCATATGTAAATTATTCATAGCTTCTTATTTATGGCTTGTGATTATTATTTTTTTTAATACAGTATCCCTAGAGATACAGGAGAAAATATTATAAAAATGTGTCTCCAGTGAAGTCCTGATAAGTATTATTTTATACGACAGTAGAAATGATGAAAAATTTCCACTTATGGTGCCATCTCTGTCAGAGAAAAGTACTCACACCTTGTTTAAACCATTTTGTCCTCTACTAACTCTACTACCTTCCTTATATCTGCAGGGACAACAAACCTTTGCCCTGGCTAGTCAAGGCAAAGCACACACCAGCACAAGCCTGGCCACCATAGAGGGAGTAAACTTTCAGTTTTATCAAGACTATAATTGACAACAGATAGAAGACTACACCAGTTTACAAGACTCAGTTGCAAATAAATTATACCCTGTATTCTCTAAACTGCCCCCCAAATACACCCTTCTGTATGCATTTTCATTTTGCTTTTCACAGTGTGAACTTGCATGGAGATCCTGTCTTTGTGCTGCTGTAGGACCTTCAAAGGTTGCTCCTCATACTCCAAGATCAACTGCTGAGATCCATTGTCTTATTATAAACGTCCATGCCCAGTGAAGCTTGTCTGGGCAGTATACATCATTTAGAGGTAGGTGAGAGATCATAAAAATTGCTCCCAGCAAGGGAAAAAAAAAAAGTCAAACCAGCCTTTTAAGGACAAGTGTGGTTTTCCTTATTATCCTTCCTAAAAATTGACATATTGTGATTCAGAGTCTGACCTTCTTCTTTATACTGAACACAGAATTGAAGCTGATGGGACTTATTATCAATTTATAGGCCTATATGTGCAAATAAAAGAGATACAATCTTGTCTGGCACCAACAAACCACTTGTCATACTTTCCAGTCGTATAAAGAACTAGGGAATGAATTAACATGTCACAAATTGACATTATTGATCAATGGATGACTGAAAGCCACTTAAATGTCTCCAGGCAAGAAGGTGAATAAAACAAAAGGTATTTGGAGAAAACTCTTATATCATTGCAACATTTAATGTTCAACTCTTATACCATTGCATATTCAATTTTGAAAAAAAAAAAAAATAGTAGAAAACTAAAATGTTGTTTTGTTCACCTCCATGAAGAAAGTTCAAATGTCATAAAGTAAACAGTAAACAGAAAAAAATGAGTTTGGGGGAAAATAGTTACCTATGCTGTATAAAAACTTTTTTATATTTGCTGGGCATAGAAGTATATGCTCATTAAAGCAGATTGAATATCAGGTCAATTAAATTTAGTGATCTTGGATCAACAGGTTAGATTAATTAGTATCTTGCTGGCTTTGTCCTGAATAACCAAAAATCAATGTGTTATGTTCAGATCAGTCAGAAGCAAGGACGACACGAAGACGGTAAATAAATTCATTTTTAAAAATCCATTCAAACAACGGGAACATAAAATGGCACTCTCTCATAGTTATTAAACATACCACTGAAAATTGTGGAATTAAACCATGAAGTGCTCTCTAGCTGGCCATAAATTTCAATTTTTCCCCTGCTTGGTGCATAATGATGCCTTGATAAGTGTCCTATTATTGATGCATCTGCAACATATATCCTCTTTTTGGAGCTGAAATGTTACTCTGCAGCAGATGGTGGCTATTGTGTTTACACATCAGCACTTTATGATTGCATTTTCTCACGTCTGCAGTAAAAAGAAAGCCGTAATTGAGTTTTTAATGGCTTTGCACATTGTTCATTAAGATTACATGAGTGAGTTCTGACAAATGACAGCTGAAGAAATGAGCCACTGAGAACCCCTCGTGATCACCAGACAGACCTCAGTTGATGCTGTTTCACTGTTGGCTTTGAAGAACCGTGCTGTTTAAAAGTGAAATTATAGCAACCATTAAAGACTGAATGTAAACCTGAAAAGAAAGCTGTCAAAATGCTCAACTGCAAAACAAGACTTCTAAAACCTTGAAAACAGAAACAGGTACAGAATGTTCTTTTCAAGAGCAAATGTCTTCTCGAAATAAAGGATTGGATTTTCCAGCAGCTCCATCAGGTGCACATGCATGGTTTAGACGCAGTTTTGCTTATTTCCAAAGAACAACTCTATCTCAAAAAAGTAGTCTGACATCTGTCCCCGTTAAGGTAGAACAAAGCAACACCTAATAATTTGTTTTGGAAGGGGCCTCAGGCCAAGGTCCTACTCAAAGCAGGCTCATCTATGAGGCCAGACAAGGCTTCTCAGAGCTTTTACCTACTGAGTCTTACAAACCTCCCAGGAGCACTGCCCATCCCCT